GAAATATGATTCTGTGATATTAAACTACACGCTCAAGTGTAAAATGCAAAAACTATTCTGTATTTTTATGCGATACGAAAACGCGGGATGTCAGAGAATTGAATTTCATATTTTTCGTTTACTTCTTTTTCTATGTAATTTTTTTTTCCATAAAGCTTTGAGATGCGGTATGAGCATTGCGGAAAGATATATTACCGCAGTTATTTCATATTTAAAGAGAAATCCCCTTTGAAATGGCTGCTGTAAATGCTCTTATAAATCGCGTGCCTGAATAAATCGCGTACTTGAGGGCAATCAAACCAGTAATTGCGTAAATTGACATCCCTCGTAGTTCGAAGGGTGCGAAGCAGGGCGAGACCGGGGGACGAAGGCCACGATGCAAATACCGTGAAAGTTACCGGAATACAAATCGCCGACAAAATGCGAAGTTTCTGATTGCCGTATAATTTCGTTTACGCCATCGTCCGCAGACAAGACGTAGTTTACATCTTATAGAATATAGAAGAATCTCCGCCCATATAATTTCCGAGGTACTCTGTGCAACGCATGAATTCTTGCCTGTATCGAAAAGGTACGCCCCGTCTGACGATCCCCGTAGAGGCAACTTACGGGAAAAGTATTTTTTCGTGTCCTTCGTAAGGGTGCGATAAATCTACTTTTCGTGTTCTCCTCTTCTTTCAAACGCGTTTCTATTTGGTTTCTTGGTGTCCGCTCGCGGCGTTCGTTCTGTAGTTAAACTTGCTCTTACCAGATCAGCTATTTTTAGTTTGCGAAGAGGGGAGTAGGATGCTCCAGTTATGTGACGTACCTTTATCGCTGTCCGGTTAAGAATTGAATCGGATCGTCGCGGAGAAAAATTAACCGAAGTCTCCACGGCGCTCGGGAGAAGTGCCCGTGACACCCTTGATTCGCCCCGATGTATCGCCCGTGCTCGCAAAGACCGAGAATCGGTTTTGGATGTTTTTTTTCCCTTCGGGCTGCCTCGTCTCGAGCCTCGAAGAGGCACGGGAACGACAACGGCCCGTGATGGAAACGGTGGAAAAGCCGGCTACAAGATAAATCGATACGAAACCACCACGCGGCAACATCCAACGTTCCGACGACCCCTTGCCTCGTGCCTGCTATCTCTCGTTCCCTCGCAGCATTTCCTTCTCCTCCTTTAGCCACCCTTCCTGGTCGATTTTTCAATCTCTCTTTCCTTCTCTTTATCTCACTGCGCCTTGGATTCCCTCGTTCGCATTACGGTCGATCAACCTTACGCGACACGTGCCACGTTCCGGCGTGCCTGCACAAAGGGATGTCCCGGTTGCATCCAACCTGTTCGGATACGTTTGTATTTTTATTCGGTGCGAAATTGTTCGAATGGAGATAAAGAAATTCTTCCTGCGCGCAACGTGTCTCACGTGGAGAGAAATCCCGCGATAAAGGAAATTGCAGTATTTCCATTCAAAGATACTTACGTACACTCTGGCAGCTTGCGAAAGAACGATTGCAGCGATTCGAGTATTTCATTTTAGCATACGTCAACGTAGATCGCGCACGGTGCGTGTCGGTGGCTAAAAAGAGTTTGCGCAGTTTTCTAAATATTACAATACTTCTAAGCGATAGCTGCCAGGCCGACAATCCCCGCGTCTGTAAAATATAGATCGTTTAAAATAGGCTTTGTGTACACGGCGCTGTCGGCTCTAGGTGGCTGTCTAAACGTTATCTCGGGGAAGAAATATTTCACGCGTCGCGGAGAACACGGTCTCCCAGCTGATACGTGTTACGCGCGTGTCAACGAGACACGACCGATGAGACATTCCGTCCGGGACGTATTCGGGACTTGTTCGCTGACCGAACGTCATACCGCATAGTGCCGCATAGTGTAAAACGACGCGGAATATGATGATGGTATATATATAAAATATATAAAGTATATACCATATTGTATTCCCCGTCGTTTTATATCATACACATTATACGGTATCACCATCGTTCAATTTGAAAGGACTGTCATTACCTTGGCAAACATATCTCGAGGAAAAAAGGTCAATAGGATAAAGACGAGATCTCTCGTCCCTGGCAGAATTTCGCATCGATTTTTATTTGGAGGTCGACGTTATTAATAATCTCGGCAATATTATTTTACTGTGTCATGAGTATGTAGAATTCTTTCTAATTTTCGTCCACGCTTTAATTATTCAGATTCCTTACCCGAGGGGGAAACGAGGCATGTGGCATTGTGGTGTACGGATTTGCGGCGTTACTGGGCATTACTGGGCGTTGCTAGGCATTTTTTGGGCATTAGGCCCTTGCTGGGGCATTATAAAGAT